ACATTTCATGCAGTTCATTGTCAATCATCTGTCATTTGTCAATCCAAAATTAAACATTATCTACAAAATTAAAATTGTGCAGAAAAAGTCACATACAATATACACCATTTTATTTAACTGTAGCTTTTATTACAGTGATGTGGTCAATTTTTGTGCCCAGGTTTGTCAAAAAAAATAATCATCAATTCAACCAACACTAGGAACCACTTAAAATCCAAATGATGCAAAAATATCATCAATATCATCATTTAGCACATTTGGTTTCTGCAAGGCAGTCTGCGAGTCCATTTTTTCCTCAGCTCCAGGTACCTTATTGTTTCCTGACACCTCTTCTTTTGAGGATTGTTGCTGTGGCCTGTGTTTCAATGAAACAAAAAAGTCTTTAACTGGTCTAGAACACTTCCTGGAAAATGCAGATCTACGTCTGGCAGTTCTGTAGCGTGCCATGAAGCTTCCATGGTGCCACCGAGTTCTCCGAAGTGCAATGAAGGAACTGGAATGTTTTTGTGGCAAAGTGTTTTGAAGCAGCAATGCCTTTTGAACTTTTAACTTAAACCTCTTCAATCTCTTCTCCACCCTGAGTTTAGAAATATATATATGATTAGATATGATATACACTATAATATACACTCCTGCTGAAATAATTTATATTTTTAAGAATGATTAAGAAACACAAATTTCATTTAAGAGTATTTTTTGTACCTGACACCTTCAGCTTCCAGACTCTCCATTCTCAGACATTTCAGGTGCAAGAAGGCCAGGTGCTTACGCTCTTGATGAAACTTACTGCTCCGGCACCAGTGCATCATTTCCTTCAGATGAGCAGCCATATTTCTGAAAGAAGACACCTTCCTCAGCGACTTCAAGAACTTCCTCTTTTGAAAGACTGCAGCTTGACTTGAGATGTCCGTTTTCATCTCTGGCTCCAGAGACATCTTTGGGAAGAATGTATCAAAATTAACCAGTGATTGCATTTCTATGATAATGTCAGCATATTATTTTTCTCAAAAATTTACTTCAGTTTGATTTGTATAGAAGCCCATTTCCGCCACAAAAGAATAAAAGAAACATGCTTTTCTAAGTCATAAACATGAGATACAAAGTCAAAATTATGACTTTAAAATGTGAAATTATGACTTTATTTCATAATTATGACTTATGTATGTCAATTTTGACTTTTAAATTCAAAATTATGATGTAAAAAAATCAATTATGACAAATCAGAATTATGACATGTCATAAATGACATTGAAAGTCAAAATTGTGACATACTAAATTGAAATTATGACAGTCAATTATGAGATTAAAAAAATCATCTTAATTTTGACATTTTATGTCATAATTTAAACTTATCGCATATGTCAATTTCAACTTTTTATGCCATAATTCCTACTTTTAAAGTTTTAAGTTACCAAAGCATGTTTTTTTTTTTTCTTACGTGGTGGAAATGGGCTTCCACAGATCTGATATAAATGCGAGTGGCAAAAACAGAAATGGTAACATCCTAGGACTAGTCAATGACATCATACAAATCAAGATTAAATACCCGTTTGGTGGATTTAGCAGATTGTTGAAGCACAACCTTCATGTCCAGTCCACAGGGTGAGACATCTGGAGAATTACAAACAAATATATAAAAGCAAAGCAGTATAAATTACACAAAAACATAATTGGTAAGAAAACTCAAATAACCTGGCCGTCGCTGTAAAACTGCTGCCCCCAGGTCCAGACTAGAACCTTTATCATAACCGGCAGCTATTATTGGCATCATCTCTCTCTCCTCTTCTCCATTACCGTCTTCATGCCCTTCACCCTCAAACAACCTGGAAAGGAGAGAAAAGTTGGACTTTTGTTTCCCTTTTTTGGCCCTTAAAGGGTCTTTGGTGCCTTCTTCCAACAGTAGATCTGGGTAAGAGAGGCACAGGAAGTCTTTCAGGTCCCCAGGCAGGGTGAAGTCTGTCAGGTAGGCCATGGGCTGAGACTGAGACACCTTCTGGAGGAGTTCAGTGGTTCTTTTGTACATGGGGATGAGGGCTCTCAGAATACCTCTGAAGAACACCCTAACAAATTATAAAATGTGACAGAAAAAAAAAAAAATCTGTTATCCCATTTCAGAATGATATTTGTTGCACATTATTCCATTTTGTTTTGAAAGCTATCCATAAGCAAGCCAGTAAATGTTTAATATATTGGTATATTTTCTGAAACAATTCTTAACATTTTGGTTTTTCATACTATTATAAACACACATTTACTTAATGGGGACATTTCAAGGACATCTATTGTTTTGATATATAGCTAGTTATAAATACTATAACCTAACCCTAACAGTGCATTCACGTTAGAGACATTTTGGCAAAATGTTCTGGGTAAAAAAGGTCCAATGTCTGTTGTTAATAGTGTAACAATGTAGCCATCTCACACAAAAGTAAATTTCAAATCAAGCAGCTTTTTTTTTTTTACAAAAGTAAAAATACAAAGTCAAATGAATATCTTTGATTATACTGAACTAAGTCAAAATCAAGAATGAAAAGAAATTGACCCTGGACCACAAAACCAGTCATAAGGGTCAAATTTTTTGAAATTGAGATTTATACATCATCTGAAAGATGAATAAATGAGCTTTCCACTGATGTATGGACAATATTTGGCCGAGATACCACTATTTGAATATCTGAAATCTGAGGGTGAAAAAAATATCTAAATACTTAGAAAATCGCCTTTACAGTTGTCCAAATTAAGTTCTTAGCTATGTATATTACTAATCAAAAATTAAGTTTTGATATATTTACGGTAGGAAATTCGCAAAACATCTTAATGGAACATGATCTTTACTTAATATCCCAATGATTTTTGGCATAAAAGAAAAATGTATCTTTTTGACCCATACAATGTATTGTTGGCTATTGCTACAAATATACCCGTGCTACGTATGACTGGTTTTGTGCTCCAGGGTCACAAATATGAAATGCTGCTCCATCCCTGCAGTTTCCCAACTTAGCATCTTCAGGAAATAACTCTATGGTAATTCAGCGATGATATGGTAAATCATACTGGTACACAGACTCACCAGAGACGACTAAGCATGCTGGTTATCACCACATTCAGCACAACGAACTCGCTTAGCAGCAGGTGCTGCCGTGTCAGTCTGACTGGGGTGTGAAGGATCATAGCCATGCACAGTTCTTCTATCATAAGAATTTTCGAACCAAAGTACATGGTTGTGAATGTGAACATTTAGGATACATGAAAGCTTGGGTGCACCGCTCCAGCGTTCGGGCTAAAAGACTGGAGGCTCCTAGTAGTTTGAGACAGAGCCACTCCAACATGGGCTGACTGGGAACGTCACACTCCCCAACCTCTGCTCCAGCATCCCTACACAGAGAAACACATATTCTCAAAACCATATGGAAGAAGAAAAAAAAAAAAAAGTGTATAATTTGTTTAACATATACCTTACCTCTGAAATTTGTCTGGACACAGTTCCTTCAGATCGTCCACTGCTGCTTGTAACTTCATCTCTTTCAAACGGTTTATGCATTGTTCAACCTGAAAATTATGTAAATATGCGATCATACATTGCAAATAAATTAATTAAGGATTTTTATCACGGTCTTGACATAATTACACAATACTAAATGTAATATGCATGCATACTATATGTACATTGAAGTACTTGGTTCCCACCTGTTTTAATGCTCTGAATGGCTTGTGTTGTCTAAAGCCGTTGTTCAAAACGTAAAGAAGTTCGTAAAGAACACGGATTTCTGCCTGTAGAACTTCACTACATAACAGGGTCAAGACTTTCTCACAGTCAGTCAGCAGACTTTCAATCAAGATATCTAGACAGAGAAACATCATTACAATGTCATGTAGCCTATATAATTGTACTTAAGTTATATGTTTAGTCATTCAAAGTTCAGTCGTTTTATACAGTACGTATATATACATAAAACACGTGCAATTACTTTACAAAATAAAAACACTGCACTTATTTAACTAATAAGAATGAAGTAACGTAGACTACATTACACTAACACCAGTAAACAAGTCTTGTATTGGACAACTGAACTATCTGAAGAGATCAAAAGTTAAGACTCAAATGCTTTATCGCTGCTTACAAATTGTATCACTTGTCCACCGTTTTACATGAATCTACCGGATCCACGTGCTCAGCTCAGTCACAGAAAAACATTTATTTACATGCTTTATATGAGCTCTTTGTAGTAAATAGTAGAGTAAATATATCGTTAAGGGTTAAAATATCAGAACATACCACTTGAGTCAGTAAATGGGATTCGACTCGAAGAAACAGCACTTGGAAACTGGATACAAGTTTTATTCCAGGGTTCTTGCGCCATGTTTACAGCTGAAGGCCGGGGAGAGAAAACCAGCCAATCATACGCTTGTTCATGTGATTACGTCACAGGTCCTAAAAGGTACATACACAGCATTCTTTTGCGCTGGCGCACAGCTTACATATTGGTTATTTTTCAGTAAGGAAAAATAACTAGTCAATTAAAAGAATTTTTTATTTTTTTTTTACAATTTACATCATTATAGTTTCATATAACAAAAATACTATATTGAAGCAGTTTCATTTACCCCTAGCTTTCAACTAGTAAAATGTGGCTATAAAAATCTACACATTGAAACTAAATGTTTTTGAGATGAAAAATAAACCACGTATAATCATGTCATGTCAAACACATTTTGCTTTTAATACAGCAGGTGGAAAAAGATTAGACACGATTTTACCTGGATTCATTTTTCACATCTCAAAAAGCTGCAATTTTACCAGGAGGGTGTAAACTTTTTATAGCCACTGTGTATCAAATGTGTAGCTTACAAATATTACTAATCAAAAATTAAGTTTTGATATATTTACGGTAGGAAATTCGCAAAACATCTTAATGGAACATGATCTTTACTTAATATCCCAATGATTTTTGGCATAAAAGAAAAATGTATCTTTTTGACCCATACAATGTATTGTTGGCTATTGCTACAAATATACCCGTGCTACGTATGACTGGTTTTGTGCTCCAGGGTCACAAATATGAAATGCTGCTCCATCCCTGCAGTTTCCCAACTTAGCATCTTCAGGAAATAACTCTATGGTAATTCAGCGATGATATGGTAAATCATACTGGTACACAGACTCACCAGAGACGACTAAGCATGCTGGTTATCACCACATTCAGCACAACGAACTCGCTTAGCAGCAGGTGCTGCCGTGTCAGTCTGACTGGGGTGTGAAGGATCATAGCCATGCACAGTTCTTCTATCATAAGAATTTTCGAACCAAAGTACATGGTTGTGAATGTGAACATTTAGGATACATGAAAGCTTGGGTGCACCGCTCCAGCGTTCGGGCTAAAAGACTGGAGGCTCCTAGTAGTTTGAGACAGAGCCACTCCAACATGGGCTGACTGGGAACGTCACACTCCCCAACCTCTGCTCCAGCATCCCTACACAGAGAAACACATATTCTCAAAACCATATGGAAGAAGAAAAAAAAAAAAAAGTGTATAATTTGTTTAACATATACCTTACCTCTGAAATTTGTCTGGACACAGTTCCTTCAGATCGTCCACTGCTGCTTGTAACTTCATCTCTTTCAAACGGTTTATGCATTGTTCAACCTGAAAATTATGTAAATATGCGATCATACATTGCAAATAAATTAATTAAGGATTTTTATCACGGTCTTGACATAATTACACAATACTAAATGTAATATGCATGCATACTATATGTACATTGAAGTACTTGGTTCCCACCTGTTTTAATGCTCTGAATGGCTTGTGTTGTCTAAAGCCGTTGTTCAAAACGTAAAGAAGTTCGTAAAGAACACGGATTTCTGCCTGTAGAACTTCACTACATAACAGGGTCAAGACTTTCTCACAGTCAGTCAGCAGACTTTCAATCAAGATATCTAGACAGAGAAACATCATTACAATGTCATGTAGCCTATATAATTGTACTTAAGTTATATGTTTAGTCATTCAAAGTTCAGTCGTTTTATACAGTACGTATATATACATAAAACACGTGCAATTACTTTACAAAATAAAAACACTGCACTTATTTAACTAATAAGAATGAAGTAACGTAGACTACATTACACTAACACCAGTAAACAAGTCTTGTATTGGACAACTGAACTATCTGAAGAGATCAAAAGTTAAGACTCAAATGCTTTATCGCTGCTTACAAATTGTATCACTTGTCCACCGTTTTACATGAATCTACCGGATCCACGTGCTCAGCTCAGTCACAGAAAAACATTTATTTACATGCTTTATATGAGCTCTTTGTAGTAAATAGTAGAGTAAATATATCGTTAAGGGTTAAAATATCAGAACATACCACTTGAGTCAGTAAATGGGATTCGACTCGAAGAAACAGCACTTGGAAACTGGATACAAGTTTTATTCCAGGGTTCTTGCGCCATGTTTACAGCTGAAGGCCGGGGAGAGAAAACCAGCCAATCATACGCTTGTTCATGTGATTACGTCACAGGTCCTAAAAGGTACACACACAGCATTCTTTTGCGCTGGCGCACAGCTTACATATTGGTTATTTTTCAGTAAGGAAAAATAACTAGTCAATTAAAAGAATTTTTTATTTTTTTTTTACAATTTACATCATTATAGTTTCATATAACAAAAATACTATATTGAAGCAGTTTCATTTACCCCTAGCTTTCAACTAGTAAAATGTGGCTATAAAAATCTACACATTGAAACTAAATGTTTTTGAGATGAAAAATAAACCACGTATAATCATGTCATGTCAAACACATTTTGCTTTTAATACAGCAGGTGGAAAAAGATTAGACACGATTTTACCTGGATTCATTTTTCACATCTCAAAAAGCTGCAATTTTACCAGGAGGGTGTAAACTTTTTATAGCCACTGTGTATCAAATGTGTAGCTTACAAACAAATGGTGAGTCATATTGTTTACAAGCAAATGTCCTCTCAATATGAATAATAATATGATTTTAATAGTTTATTAATACATATCCCAAATAGTACTCAATTCAAATGCAATTTTAATGATAATAATACTAATAACTATTATATGCATATTATAACTTGTTTTTTTAATAATTATGATCTTTATTCATAACGTATTATTCTTACATAATCTGTAACACAGAACACAGTTAACATACGGTAACTATATACAGAGGGTTATGGTCAACAGCTCACCATCTTCTTTCATCCAAACAGTAATATCCATATTTATCTATTTATAAAGATGCATTTCATTTGTGTTGTAGTACCCATGCAATAATCTGTGAATTGACTTCCTCCAGTACTGATTCTTCTGTTCTGCCACGTACTGCAAGTCCATGGTTCGCATCCTTGACCCAGTGAACAGCAGAAGGGCTTTTCATGACATGCATAACATTTTGTAGAAGATTCTAAAAAGCAAGCAAAGGATAAGCTTTGTATTACATTAATATAAATATGAAAGAACCTAATAGTTTCAATGTAATCAAGAATCAAATTGCCTTTTTGCATATTACATCTTTACCAAAAAAAGTAATAAATTCCTGTGTCCCTGTAATAAAACTACAAGGGAAAAAAGTATATTCTGTCATTTGCTCACAGTCAAATCATTTCAAACCTGTATGACTTACTTTCTTTCTTCTTGTGTGAAAAAAAAAAATTCTCAAAAAGAAAGTCATACCGTTTTGGAACGGCATGAGTATGAGAAAATGATGACAAAATTTATCACTTAAGGTTTAACAGCAGGAACTTCAAGAATGACCATTACTCAGTTTAAAGCCCAAACCAATCGAAAACGTCTCATATGTGTTCACCTGTTGACACATGTTATCTGCAGTGCCAGAAACAAACAGCACAGAAGTTTGGGACAGTGCATGCAGGCCATGGCTCCGCTCAACATATGTTTGTGGTTTTCCTGGTACATTCAGTGGGAATGACAAACACAGAACACCTTGGACTGCATCCTTCTGCCTGTCACACATACGATTACACACAGCAACAGCTGTACGAGCACCCATAGAGCGTCCTGGAAACAAATACAGAAAGAGAGAGAACATTACTATTAAATTAAATAATTTATTTTATTTTATTTTATTTTCTTTCGTAGGAAGAACTTTGAAAAATGATTATTGGAAAAAGTATTCATCATTACTGCCTAAAAAAGGGAAATAATAATATTAGAACAACAGAAGGAAAACAGGCAACTATTCAATATTGTTCACTATGCATATTATAAAAAATATATTAGTAGTGAGTATTTTTTATAATATTCACCTATTTTTATCTACATATTTTTAAAGACTTGCATCTGCAATTTTTTTCTGTTCCTCCTTCAAAAATAGACTACTTTCACACATTCAAACAAGACAGAGAGAGAGAGAGAAAGAAAGAGAGAGACCTACCTCCCAAGAAAAGGCTGTTTGGTGCATATCTCTCATGGGTCTTTAAGTACTCCTGATGGATAGAAAATTGCAGGGATTATGTATTTAATATTAGAAATATTATTAATTTATAATAATAATAATAATAATTACATTTTATATTTTACACTTTGTTTTATTGCAAGGAATACAGTGGCATGCGAAAGTTTGGGAACCCCTTGCAGAATCAGTGAAAATGTGAATAATTTTAACAAAATAAGAGAGATCATACAAAATGCATGTTATTTTTTATTTAGTACTGTCCTGACTCCGGAGTAAGATATTTTACATAAAAGATGTTTACATATAGTCCACAAAACAAAAAAAATAGCTGAAAGTATTAAAATAACCCCCTTCAAAAGTTTGGGAACCCTTGGTCTTAATACTGTGTGTGGTTACCTGGAAGATCTACGACTGTTTTTGTTTGTTTTGTGATGGTTGTTCATGAGTCCCTTGTTTGTTCTGAACAGTTAAACTGAGCACTGTTCTTCAGAAAAATCCTCCATGTCCTGCAGATTCTTCAGTTTTCCAGCATCTTTTGCATATTTGAACCCTTTCCAGCAGAGACTGTATAAGTTTGAGATCCATCTTTTCACACTGAGGACAATTGAGGGACTCAAACACAACTATGAAAAAAGGTTCAAACATTCCCTGATGCTCCAGAAGGAAACATGATGCATTAAGAGCTTGAATTTGAACTTTTGAATTTGAAGCTCAAGGTCAATTGTACTTAATTTGTCTTCCGGGAAACATGCAAGTATCTTCTGTTGCTTCCGAAGGGCAGTACTAAATGAAGGAAAAAAAACGATATTTCAACAAAATAAGAAAAATTTGGACATCTTCATCCTGCTCTTAATAAAGATGCGGGAAAACTGAAGAATCTGCAGGACATGGAGGATTTTTCTGAAGAACAGTGCTCAGTTTAACTTTTCAGAACAAACAAGGGACTCATGAACAACCATCACGCTTGACGCTCTTTTTTGTTGTTGTCCTTTTTCTCTATCAAATCTTTTAGTAATCATCATAAATTATATATCATTTGAAAGCTTAGAAGTCCAAATTCATCCTGTGAAAACCATTTTGAAATCGGACATTGTGTTACCATGGAAATGATACTTTAAAATCTTTTGGCCGTCTCCTCCCCCTTAGTGGGTGGTGTCAAGTGTCATATTTCAAAATGCATTACGGTCTTTTAGAATCAAACCTTTTTATAATCTTGACAAAAAACATATCATTGGAAACGTGGCTGTTTGTGGTATAACGCCCTACATAAAATCTCACAGGAACCTCAATTATTTTCATATTATTTATTACCTGTTATGTAAAATATTTATTATATATAAAATAAAATTAGTATAGTGCATTTCCTTTACAGTAAATTTAAACTTCTATAACTTTTTGAAAAAAAAAATCCACGTTTGCAATAATCTGCTGATTTTCTTCTTTAAAAAGAGACCAACCTTAGGTCTGTATTCCAAAGTGTTCATAAATTACAACAATTTAAGTTTGGATAGTGCACTTTCATGCCTATTTTAAAAAATGGGGGGTGACAGTTAAGGGGTTAAGGGGGTTATTTTAATAATTTCAGCTATTTTTTGTTTTGTCTTGTGGACTATATGTAAACATCTTTTATGTAAAATATCTTACTCCAGACAGTACTAAATAAAAAAAATAACATGCATTTTGTATGATCTCTCTTATTTTGTTAAAATTATTCACATTAGATTCTGTAAGGGGTTCCCAAACTTCCGCATGCCACTGTATGTATTTAATATTACAATATTATTATTTCTACTACTTCTACTAATAATAATAATAATGATACATTTTAGAATATATTTTTATAGTTTTGTTTTATTATTAAAAACGAATGCATTAATAAAATGCAGTTACAACGTATTTTATTTGCATGAAGGTTCTTCTAATAATGAAAATTAGAAAATTAAGTGCTTACTACAACGGCGCTATAAGCTCTGATTCTGTACAGAAAGTTCGGCGCCCTGCAGGTGAATCGCAGACACAGAACGCCTGAACGGGCGAGAGCGTGCGCGAGGCTCTCCAGCTGTTTGGTGAGCATGTCTCCCCCCGCGCCGTGCGTCAACACCACAGCTGTGCAATGTCCCGCGCTGACGTCAGCAGGGACCGTCAACACACCGTCCAGCTCCTTCTGCTCGAACGGGATTCTCACATTCTCCTGTGATATTCATATGAATAAAAAGTGTTAAAAACGAAGTTCTTTAGACAATGCACCAAAAATGTTTTGTAAACACTCATTATATTCCACTCCGTTCACAAAAAAAAAAAACGTGTTGATAAGTTGGACATGTTTCTATAGCTAAAATACCTCTGAAAACTCCATTTAAGGATGCGTGGTTGAAGCAAGGAGCTCTAAAATACCCGGGTTTCTCACACGTGGACATGTGACGTGTCGATGTTCATATGAATCACGTTGTTTTACAGCGCCACCTGATGTAAAGGAGTGAGCATGCGCCTCAGGTAAGATGGCTACATGAAAATGTTAAAAATGTCTTTATGATGAACTGTTCGCACACTTAACACAAAAGGTTAGAACACACTTCAAAGTTAGAAAAAATATATATCAAAGGAATTTTAAATAAATGTAAGTTTGTTTGGTTTGAAGTGAAACAATAATACAATAGTTAAAACCTTAGATAGGAAAGACCAGAGCATGCCGTCACATATTTCTCAGGGTAGGTTTAAGTTCATTTCTATATAAACCACCTCAAATCTTTTAAGTCTTAGCTACTAAATAAGTAAATAAACAAACAAACATTTCCACTGTTAATTATTCTAATTATTCTGTTATGATTAATTATTATGAATAACTGAATTATTCTGTTAATTATTCTGGTCTAAACTTTGTGTAATGTATAGTAATTCTACATTAAAGTGTATAAGCAAGCCCATCTATCAAACTTTCTAAACAAATGTGTATAATAATAATATAAACCAGACCAACAAGAATGTAGAAACACAAAGATTTAATACAAAAAGAGAAACATTCAGTTAAGACATTGCAGTCACAGGACACTTGATGCACCAAGTCTGTGGTCTCGGAAACATCTTTTTCTGCAAATCCATCTAAATTTAACGGCTGCTGTTACGTAACACAACAGGTGGTCTCTCACAGCTCATCTCTGACCTATACAAAAACAAAACAAACAATTAGAAATGTTTGATCTGATCCAGAGCAAATGCATTGCGGACTAAAATAATTCATATAATAATTTGATCAGAGTAATCTGCTGATCAATCCATGTCATAAAAAGTGTATTGCCCTCATAAACCCAGTTTGTGTGCTTTATGAAATGACAATAAATCCATCAGATACTTAATTAAATGTATTGTACAGTATTATACCATATGGTGGTAAAATGTTCACTGTTGTTTCTTAGCAATAAATGTTTTATTATGCTGAAAATTCAAAGCTGAACAGAAATTTTTATAAATGGAAATCTTAGTATGGACAAAACTGAAAAAAAAAATGCTTATTTGTATAATGGGAGTTTGGTTAGGATATTTTATTTTAATGGAATCTAGAAATATTGTACTATTATTATACACTGATGACTATTATTATACTGAGTATGGTCAGTACAATCTCTGCTATTGTGTAAAATAGGTTAAATGAATACAAATTAATATACCCATTATAGTGATTTCAGTTAATACCAAGAACACATAGGCTACCTTTTTTCTTGCACAATAACATGGGAAAAGTTCGTCCTTTGGCTGTTCCACCAGCTCCATACCATCTCGAACCTTGGGCTCAGTGACCTGCAGTTCAGCATACTTCTAAAAACAAAAACACAGAGCTGGATGAGTGTAGAAATTTAATTTAGCATACAAAATTGTACTGGCAAAAATAAACAAAGATATTACATGGTACATTACATTTATTTCACAACATGCAAGTTCAGCTACATAATTTCACCATCTGTAATCTTTCCATCCAATCACATACCCTCTTACTTTCTTTGTCTTGGTGAAGCACTTTTATTTAGAACTTTTTATTAACTGCAACATCATCATACTAAACAAGCATCTTTATCAGCAGTACGAATCACATAAAATTCAAGTAGCCGCTGTGGTCTTGACCTCCAACACTTCCACACCTCAAATGCACACAGGTTTATTGTTGAGAAGTGCTTTGAGGCCAGGACTTGTGTTTAAAGATTACTGTTTCCAGCCGATAGTTATGAAAAACCATAAAGTACTGGGGTTTATGAACTCAGGGGTACTTGCGCACAGTGACTACTGTGAGCACACAGGAAACTTGGGACCAAGTCCCAAGTGTGTGTGTGTGTGTGTGTGTGTTCATAAAGTACTGGGGTTTATGAACTCAGGGGTACTTGCGCACAGTGACTACTGTGAGCACACAGGAAACTTGGGACCAAGTCCCAAGTGTGTGTGTGTGTGTGTGTGTGTTCATAAAGTATTGGGGTTTATGAACTCAGGGGTACTTGCGCACAGTGACTACTGTGAGCACACAGGAAACTTGGGACCAAGTCCCAAGTGTGTGTGTGTGTGTGTGTATTCTTTTTTTCTTTTTGTTGTAATTCATCTGTAAGCATTACAAATTTGTGACACTTATAGAAGTCAGTTAGATTAAATGTATCCAGTTCTTTCATAATTTTGTACTGTATGTTTGACCTCTTATATAGAAAAGATATACTTTTCAAACAAATATATTTAGCTATATTTAGCTTAAAAATGTTATTAAAGCTGCCAATGACACAAGACAAAACAAACCTTTTTTTTGAAGATGTCATTTCTAATTTTGAGGATGCTTATATATATTGATGATAGAAAAAAAAATTGCTGATTTAGAATAAGACTTAATTTTTTGTACCTAAAGTGCTTCTAGTCATCTTATCAACACAGACAGTAAAATGACCACTGAATGTGTGTGCCGTGCGGATGGCAAGACACGCGCTATTTAACCTTTGTCTTTTGAGTCCTTGAGAACAACACATAAAACTTGGATGAAGATGGAAGATCAAGACAAGATAAGATATATACACTGATAACTTCATAAAATCAAAAAAAAATAAAAATAAAAAAAATAAAAAAATAAAAAATAAGGAAATTAAAAAGACCCGTTGTGGAAAATAAGGTATTAAAAAGGTGATAAAACAAACAACCTGTAGTGTCACAGAAACAGTAACCGTTCCGCTCTTGGTGTAGTCACTGCCACAATAGACACACCCGAGCACTGAACTAAAGAAATTAAAAAAATACCTGAAAGAGTTTGAAGTAGTAACAGAATATACTGTCACCCATCAGATGAGTTCGTGCAAACTGCTGACCTGCCAGGGCAATTCGCTTTGCCTATAAGAAAAAACAGAAAGGTGACAGGATTGTTTGTGCAGTTTACTGCTATAGACACATTTTTAACATCGCAATCTCCTTAACAACTGCAAACCTGTTCACCTGCGTCTTGCACTACCATCCCAATACTGCATGTAAACCTTCTGCTTTGCGAACAGAGAATAATAGCTTCAGCATCTCCAATTCATGCAGATGCAAACTGTTCAGTACTAAGACTGGCTAATAGAAATGTAGCATTTTGTATTTTTTTGTATTTTATTAATAGATTAAAATGAATATAAGTTACACAATTCAGTTCTCTCAGGATTCTGTGATCAAACTCAAATGATCCCCACAAGATTTGAGCTTACAATTGTGTGTCTGCCAAAATAGTAAATGTAAAGTTAATGCAGAGAGTGTGAAAGACATTCTCAGAAACATTATAATACATAAATATATAGTTCATAGTTCAGTCATGAAACTCTAGATGGCGCAGGCTGACGGGTTGTTAATGTAACTGATGATATTCAGAGAGTTAAATGACTTGGCACAAGCTGATTGGTTCATGCTGCATATGCAGCCAATGAGCTTACTGCCTTGCATTTATATGGCTGGCTAGCATTCACTAGAGATTCCTGCAGCGCGCTTTTCAGAGTTTCTCTGAAACCCTCCACCTTCCCCAGCTTCACCTGTATAGATCTGCTACGGGATATTTTATATGCGATTTGTGCAGCAGCAGTATGTCTTAAATACTCACGGCACCGTATCGCCATATGCATTGGCAGTAGCAAGTTCCTGTACTTGCTTGCAGCAGCAGCAGCAATAATCATCAACTACAGCAATAACCAACAGCAGCAGCAATTCAGCAGCAGCATAGCAGATCTATTCCGCCAAGACCAAATACATTAACACTGTCATATCCATCACCATGCTAAAATCTTCCGAGAGTTGTCATGATTGAACTGATATAAAAGAATGTTGCAAATCTCAGGGCAATTTTTGAGAAAAGGCCAGCAAATTCAGTACTTTTGGGATATGATAAACATCCATCCATTATGTTATATAAACTGTATCATACAGACTATTAATTAAACTATACTGTATATTGAAAATTGGTGTCTTTTATTAAAGGAATATGCCACTTGAGGCCATGCCCAACAGTGATTTTACCACGGTCAAGGGAGGTTTAGGTTCTTTGCATTACAAAATAGTAATAATTTAAATGACATAAAAAATGATTAAAAAAAAGTCTGTGCTCACAAACAATTTAATATGCGATATTTTGTGTTCATATGAGAACCGTAGATGTGTGTGTGTGAATGGGGATGATGTACCTCCTCATCATGGTCAGTAGCCCACTGGATCTTCTCCAGTAGGTCACTGAGATCAGCTTTGAAGGGGATATAGTGCACCCATGGCTGGAGCTGCTTGTAAAAGTGCTCATAATAGATGGAGTCATGTTTGAACACCGCACTGTCTCCTGCAAGCAAATAAGGCAGCCTGTACGCTGCTACTGTCCCGTCAACATTTATCTGGTACTTATACTGTTAAAAGAGAAACATACAATCATCTCAGGTAAAAATAACAACATAAAAATATAAAAAATATGTAAATTAATTGAATTGAGGATCTATGCTGTGTGTACTGAAGTAGTTCTGTGAAATCCATGCACCTTGAAAAAGTCAAAAAAGGACACATGTTTGACGAGGGGCCCGTAAAGGCTCTCATCATGCTTGAAAAAGAAGAAGTTGGTTAAGGCGGCATCGAGCATGTCAGGGTTCGCCCGCGCCAGTTTAACCAGCTCAAGACGCTCTTTCCTGCTGTCTCGACCTCTCCAGAATGCTTTGCTGATCTTCTGTTCCCACATTGGACCCGTGTGTCCCTGAACAGACATCATGTCCAGACTCACTCTGTCACAGAAAAAATGATCAATGGACAAAATATATTTTAATCAGTCAGAATAAGAAATTAATATGTAGTACAGAGATTTAAATTCATGTTGTTATGATTTTTTCTAAACAAATCGCTGAACATTTAGTTTAGTTATGTTAGCATAGATAGTGCATCTTGTTTTCATGGACAGACGTTTCACAACTAGTATCACAATTGTATCATTTGAAGAAAAAAAAATCATTCATAATCACAGATCACAAACTCTGAGACCACTTAGGAAAAATGCTACCATATAGCCATACCATTTTTTCTTTCTTCACAAATTTCCTATAACTCGTTGTTTGACATTTTGCTACAATAAAGAGTTTTAAAATTAAGCTTTGTTTATTTCCTAGTTTAAATCAGATTTTAAATCCTAGATAGAGCTCCCTAAAAATCAATAAAAAGTTTTATGTTGTTCCATAAAAAGCTTTATGTGTTAACTGCATCTCCAAGAGTCACAAGAGTTTCTTTACCTGCCCATAGTCTCCAATACAGATTCAGTCAGGTCATATGTCGGCATGACAATATCTTGTGTATCATTAGACCCACACCATGAAAAGACCGGGCTGGGCTTCTCAGACGCCCGTCTCTTCTCCAGGGGCCAGTCCCCCAAATTAACAAAAAACTCAATGTCTGGAACCTTGACCTGGTCACACACAACAACAATAAGTGGACTGTTAATTTTTCAGTTATGAATTTGCACTAATTAGTAATTCAAAATAACACAAAACATATCATTCAAAATACAATTCAAAAGTTTGGGGTTGGTAAGACTTTTTAATGTATCTGAAAATTATGCTAATGTATTTCTCTTATGCTCAAAAAGGCTGCATTTATTAGATTAAAAATACAGTAAAACAGTAATATTGTTACATATTACTACAATTTAAAATAACTGATCACATGATCCTTCAGAAATCAGTCTAATATGCAGATTTGGTGTTCAAGAAACAATGGTAGTGTGCCAGCCAGTATCCATCCATCCATCCATCCATCCGTATGAAAATATAATTACTGAATACTATAGAAGTCTTATTCTTTACTTACCCCCTAAAAATAGTTGAACTATTCTGGGACAATGCCACAAACCTATCAACAATATTATTATTGTATGAACTGAAATGAACACTAACACTCAAGTTAAATTCTCCTCTTTTGATGTACATGCCTCCAACCGTTCTATGTTGGAGTGCCATCTAATGGTAATAAAGGTAAATGACTAAGCACATGCTTGAGATGTGTATTAATAACATTATTATTACTTAACATAACTTAACTAAAAGCACCCAAAAACATTTGTACAAATACTCACTTTACGTGTGAGGGACAGAAGGAAGGCATCCATGAAGATCCTGAATCCGACATGTTCTCCATGTGTTTTTATATAAACCTAGAGTAAAAAAGAATACAAAAGTACATGACATTATGAGACATTTTTTTAATATCTAATTGTTTCCTTATGTAGACAAAGGCTACAGAAGAATGTAGAGTGGCAGCTAGAGTGACAGATATATAAAATTTTACCCAATCAATGGTCCACCAATCATTTTAAACAGATGTCAAAATACTATTCAATTCTTTCTGTGCAAAACCTTGGAAAAAATGGTGTAGTTTGTTTAAAACAATCCATAGGTATTTGAATGAGGCATGCGTGTACCTGGTTGTGTTTAATGGTGTAGTGACACAGGCTGTGTCTCTTTCCAAAGCGCCTAAGGATCTCATGGGTATTATGGTCTGGATCCACACTGGGAAAGACAGATAAATCACTCTCTATCTGAGAGAAAGAGGCCGGGCAGTGCATGTTTTTTTCCCATAATGCACCACTGGGCTCTGGGCAGTCACATGATTCGTGATACACTGCACCTGGACAGTGAGAAACAGGTTAGTGTCAACTTCCACACATTGTTCATCTCTATATGATGAAGGTGGACTTGATTCTTCTCACCTTTGAGCACATATGGTGACTTTCCCACCAGCTTGTCTTTCAAAAGAATCTGAACGTGCAGATCTGTGTAACTGGCATACATGCGGTACCGAACCAAAAAGGATCCGTCATTCCGGTCTAAAATCTGGATCCAGATTCTGGCATACGGGTCTGTTGGAGATGTAATCTTCACTTCAAATGTCTTCTCTCCAGGAGAAGTTGTGAAACTGAAGATGAGGAAATCACAATAACAAAGGCATTATTATTTTATCCATGATAGAAGTAAACTGATACCTTAATGTGGACGCATGAAATGTGAACCTAAAGATGGGATGCGTAAACAAGACGCTTTTACCGCCTTGGGTGAAACTCAAAGAAAGACCTGTCCTGGGAAATTACCGGCCATTTGTTGTTAAAAATAGTTTCATTTATCACAGAACACAGTGTCTGTCAGGATACAAACATTCAGTCATAAAAGACTGACACGATATGACTAACAGAGACTAATTACTACTAATTTGTTCTTTAGCAGATTTATTCAAGCACTTACAGCACAATTGCCTTGGATTAAATAAAAGCTCTTCTTTGCATCACTTTAAGGATCAGCAGAGAAGTCTTTTTTATGTTGTATATTATACAGGTTCTTTAGAACTGGGTTCTCTCTCCGGGTTCTTTAAGCACCAATATAGTTTACTAAAGAAAGAATAAGATGATCTTGGTGGAACTATTGAGGTTTTACTGTTATCATTTTTGGTCTAGCTGAAACCTTTGTTTAAGGCAAGACACTACAGTCAAAACCATTGTTTTTCTCAGGCACTGGTCAATTTTGAGTTATCATTTTTACTTTCTGACCAGAGGAAAGAAAACATCTAATTTGTGTATTTATTTAACTACATATTTTTGTGTCTGTAGATTTCAATTACAGTGCATATTTGTAAATGATATTTTTAATATATATATATATATATATATATATATATAATGCACTTAGCCTTAAATCTGTAATATTTCAACAAAATGAAACTAAATCTTGAATCTGGCTTCATCCAGTGTTCAAATTTATGTTCTGGAAATGTATGCAAATTAATATTTCATTAGATAATATATCGTTTGCATATTAAAGCATAATATTGTCATACTATTGTCTTAATGTGCTGTGATTTATCAGCTGGGGACGTACGGTGATATCAAATAGTCAAAATTGTACCATTTTCACATGTGGTGTGTTATCGTAAATAAAAATGAACGTGAAGTGCACCCTTAATCCAGGGTTTGAACTCACAACCTATATTTCCCAGCCAGATGTGTAACCACTAAGCCACAATGCCCCATTCTGGTCTTCCAGAAGAACTCACTCACTTTCTTCCGGTGGAGTCCACTGTTTGTATGAAGAAGAACCGAGCAGGAAGGAAGATGTTTGTTTCCAGTCCAGGACCCCAGATCAAAGTTTTGCTCGCGCTGGGCGCTGCCGCTGCCGCTGCCTTTGATCTCCGAGTCATGAAAATGATGCAAAGCATCAAGAGCAGCAAAAGTTTTCTCAACATGTTTATAGAGGATGATGACACTTTCAGTAGTGGACGCGTTCATTTATCATCACTTCTTCAGAATGACAATGCTCTTTAAAACATTGCTTAAAAACACTAATGATACATTTCACCACATACTCACATTCACCAGCGGCTCGGTGTGCAAACCAACCCAGACACCATCGTGAGAAAATCTCTGCAACAGACCCAAGGCGCTCATGTGATTGGTCTGTGTGCGTCAATGACGCAACGTACTGGAAGCTGATTGGCTGTCTAATAGGAAGAGGAAAGACGCTTGCTAATGCTGCTTGTAGTCGGCGCTGCTTCAGTGCATTCATTGTTCATAGGAGATCCGTTAATCACAATGAGCTTGTAACTCGTACAAAATAAGAACAGGGTATTGCAACTCATTAAAAAATCATTTTACTTAAAAGGGGTCATATGATGTTGCTAAAAAAGAACATTATTTTGTGTATTTGGTGTAATGAAATGTGTTTATGCGGTTTAAGGTTAAAAAAACACATTATTTTCCACATACTGTACATTATTGTTTCTCCTCTATGCCCCGCCTTTCTGAAACGCGTCGATTTCGACAAAGCTCGTGGGTCTGAAAAGCAAGGTGTGCTGTGATTGGCCAGCTATCCAGTGCGTTATGATTGGCCGAATACCTCGAGCGTGTGACGGAAATGTTACGCCCCTTACCATATTGTGATGCCCTGTCTGGCCGGAGCAACGATTCAAAAAGATGAAAACCCATTATAAACGAGGCATTGGTTGCATCCAGTGGGGACATAATTACGGATTATAATGACGTATACTGTCTTTTTACTCGTTGCATTGCATATATGTGACCCTGGACCACAAAACCAGTCATAAGGGTCAATTTTTTACATCACCTGATTTATACATCTGAAAGCTGAATGAATAAGCTTTCCATTGATGTATGGTTTGTTATGATAGGACAATATTTGGCCGAGATATAACTATTTTAAAATCTGGAATCTGAGGGTGCAAAAAACGCAAAATATTGAGAAAATTGCCTTTAAATTTGTCCAAATGAAGTTCTTAGCAATGCATAACACTAATCAAAAATTAAGTTTTAATATATTTACTGTAGAAAATTTACAAAATATCTTCATGGAACATGATCTTTACTTAATATCCTAATGATTTTATCATAAAAGAAAAATCTATAATTTTGACCCATACAATGTATTTTTGGCTATTGCTAGAAATATATCCCAGCGACTTAAGACTGGTTTTGTGGTCCAGGGTCATATATAAGAATGCACATTTAGTTATTTTACGTACTTGGCACTGCAGGGTTGATCTTGGTTGACATCTTACTAGCCCATCATATTACAGAGACAAACCAGTCTTATGATGTTGTGTACATCAATAAATGTTTATTTCAATTTGATTTGCATCAACATATTTTTCCATTTTATTTTCAATAACCTCTATAACACTACTAGAATATCGATAAGAACGAAAGGTGGCATTATCCATTTAAACAAGACCGACGTTGCTGCCTTCTCTGAAGGTATCAGAGGACCAGGTGTTGGGGTGGAGGAAACTACAGTTAGACCTACAGAACTTCAGTCAGAATATCAGACACGGTACCATCTTTAAACAGGTACGACATTCACAGAGGAATATCCAAATCACATAATTTAGTTCAATGACCATGTCGCTCTCCTCCAGGTTGAACTGTACATTTTCATATAAAAACTGAGAACATACAAATAAAACACCCTGTCTGTGAGAGTCAGTTTTTACTTATTTTGACACTGAAGAGGAATTATTGGAGCATCAGTTGAAACAAATGTAATGGTGAACATGAACTAAAACCCTCGTACAGGATTCTTCAGCAGAGACCATCTTTACATGGTTTTGGCATCTTAGAGTCTTGAGTGTCTTCTTGTGTCCAAATCTCCACACATGCATTGTCTTCCTTCCTTAATCATGAGCTATTATTTCAACATAAAAGCATAAGGAAAAAAGTAATATTGCGTAAGAGCCCAAGTTTGACTAATGGTTGATGATGTGTATTCTCGTGAGCCTTGAGTTCGTATTTCAATGCACAACATCTACGTTACTGAGTAGCAGCTTGTATATACAAAGCCAAATGGGCAGAGGCATGGACTACGGAAGATATGCTGAGATTGTTACAGTAAAGCAGTAGAAGGTCAGAGGTCATCAGAGGACAAATCATAGAAATACAACATGAGTCTCAAATACGATTCTGGAAGATTTAGCTTACACGTAACATTAATTCACGCAGAGCGGCTCGCTCGATTTGATCTTTCCAGACACATATTAAAAAAAAACATGAATATTCATCAGTAGCGCCCACTGATCGGTCTAAACACCATTTCCACAGTCAATTGACAACCAGAAGACACAAGCGAACAATCTTCTGACACTAACAGCAGTAAGGTAGAAAACATCGTTTTGACATTATATTAAAGGCAAAAAAGAAGAAGAAACGAACAAACGTTGTCCCTTGTACTGGAATGTGAGGAAAATCTTTCCATGATGCATTCGAACTTCGGCAGAGAAAACGAAGATCACTCATTCGTTGTCCTCAGCAAGGTACAAAACAACGCACAATTTTTGTTACACGTGCCCCGAGGCAACCGAAGAGACTAGAAACGAAATAACAGGCCAGCTGAAATTGATCATTTAAAATAAAATGAACATTATGACGAACTAGAAAACAAATCAAACTGTATTTGTACTTCCACAGACACGCATGAAGAGCCAATCCTTCTATCCAAGTTTGGCTGACTTGAAGTAAGAGCCCAGAAGATCAACCACAGACGAGTTAATTCATCGCTAGTTTACAGTTAAAGATACTTCACCCATCTAGAATATGGCACGTTAGTTATTACATATGAGAAACACGCTCGAAAAGGACCTCACAGACACACACTCGTCACGTGGCGCCAAATACATTTTACTACTCACACTTCTAAAACCATGTCACGTCATACGTCTCTAGGAGAGGGTGAAGTACCTTTTGACGACAGATTAAAAAGTTGTTTGTGGTGCTTTTTGCGAGCTAGCAGCAAAGAAAACGGAAAAAGTTTGCGTTTGTGACTGAACGTCGTTGGAGTGGCCAACTGAGCTGCCGTCGGCCTGATTTGCAGTACGAGGGTGGATAAGTTGCTGTCAAATATGACAAGACAGAGTGGTAAATATTCTGAAAATATACATCGCTGAAAGGAACAGTATGGCGTCATCAAAAAACAAAATATTTTGGCCTTATAGCAATGCAGGTATACATTTTTTTTTAGTTTATATATATATATTTGTTTGCTATTTCAAAAAATATAAAGTTTTTTGTCAGTTTCTATTATTGGCTAAGGTTATTAAATAAAAGTTTGTTAATCTTTTATTTCCATTTTGTTTTAAAGTAACATGCTGCTTTTTAATATGGCAGTTTTACGTTTTTATAGGTCATCCATTTTGTTTCATGCACTCTTGTTGATTTCGTAACTTTCCGAGTATCTACACGGCGTGAGCCAATTTGCTTCTTGTGAGGAGACCCCGATCCACCCCTGTACATGAATGAAGATGTCGTCTGATTTACAACATGGGTAAGGAACCCCTCTTACTCTTAAATGCTAATGGTACATGTCCATTATATGGTAATCTGGTTTTAACCTTTTTAACCAATCAGAGTAAGACAATCCTGTACACAGGCAGAAGAGAAGCTGAGCAGCCCTTAAGTCCCTCTTGGTCCATTTGTCTCGTTCGCTCTCTCTCTTTAAAAGAGTGAAAGTCCAAGTACCAGAGTAGCACCCTCTTGTGGCACGAGCGTGAAATGTGCCCTCCCTCGAGGATCCTCTAAAACTGATACCACTTCTTGTCTTTGCATTTCAGCATCAGCTGTGGAGGGCGAAAGTGAAAACAAAGAGATTGTATAAGCATGTTATGATTTATTTGTATTTATATTTCTGTTTTCTCATTCTTTCACTCTCCTACATACCTCGTGAGCGTGTTTAGAGAAGGTTTCAGCACTGGTCATCATCAGGGCAGTCCTCTCCTCCAGCTCCCCCAGCCTCTGTCCTCTCTCGTCCAGGGCAATGCGAGCTCGGGCCAGTTCTCCCACCACCCCGCCTGCTGCTGCCTTCATGCCCTCCATTCCGCCCTGACCTGGGATGTGCTGTGCCAGGCTGCGGGACGCCTTACCTGCCGCTGCCTCACCAACTGCAGAGCAGGAGAGATAAAGTGAAACAAGGCAGTGATGTTATTATTAACTAAAATTAAAACTAAAAAAGGAAAAGTAATTTAACTAATTAAAATAAATATAAATCAGGAAAATATAAAAATATATAATAAAATATTTACAAAAATGTGAGGGGTGTACTCACTTCTGTGAGATACTGTATATAACAGTATATAAACAACACTAAAATAACACTAAAACCAGGAAAAGTGAGAAAAGAGAATAAAAGAGAGAAATATTTCAGATTTACAGATTAAAACTGATTAAAAGACTTCAAATTAAAGATGGACATTTGGACACTTTATATGTCAACATAGACAGTCTCCTCCTTGCTGAACCAGATTTCATGATAGTGAAAGGTCTGGATCTGTGAGTATATGCTTGCACAGTGCACACACACACACACACACACACACACACAGAGGAGTGATAAATAACTACACTCACACAGCTCCTCTCGGTCGAAGGTTTGGGCGTTACCGCCAAAAAAGCCCTTGAGAAAGCCACGGTTCTGAGCCTCAGGGGTCTCGATGGGAGTAAAGAGCTCCCCTAACATCTCCTGCAATTAAGGAAGAATAGTGAATCAAAGCGTTAAATAGACAAAATCGTATCGAATGTTGGAATGAAAGAGATAGCAGGACAGTCAATTCAAAACTCCACCAGTAGATGTCAGTATAGTTACACATTTCACAATGTAAAATGGAAAGTTTTGACAAGACATAACCTCTCTCTTGCTCTTGTTTGTTTGACAGAGACAGTTATAAAGAAAGAGGCTATGTTTGAAATGAAATACGAGTATGCTCACAGCATACTGTACAGTATGCATTAAATATGGCCTAATTTAAAAGATGGTATGTTAAGCAAAATGCACTACGCAATAATAAATCAAACAGTAGTATGCCACATTGCTATGTGTGGAAGAGAGCAAGTAGCCTTCATTCCGTCAATCACCTTTGGGATTTTTTTTTCTTTTGAATTCACCTTGGATTATTTTAATAAAATAACATGGTAGGAATTTGTCAAACTGAAAATAAATGATCAAGTCAGTAACATTGCATTGTGATATGCATACACTAACATTAAAAAATTTGGGGACTGTACAATGTTTTAATTATTATTTAAAGAAAGAAATAATTGAATTATTTTATTTATCCACATATTAAAATTATCAAAAGTGTGAGTAAAACATTTAAAATCATACAAAACATAATGTTTCAAATAAATGCTGTTCTTTTGAACTTTATATTCATCGAAGTATCCTGAAAAAAAATGTATCACAGTTTCTACAAAAATATCAAGCAGCACAGCTGTTTCAACTGATATTAATAAGAAATATTTCTGAGCACCAAATAAACATATTAGAATGATTTAAAGAACGATCAACATATTAGGATCATGTGACATTGAAGTCTAGACTAAATTGACTGAAAAGTAATGGCTGCTGAAAAGTCAGTTTTGCCATCACAGAAACAAATTACATTAAAATAGTAAACAGGTATATTAAATTGTAATAATACATCACAATATTACATATTTTACTGTATTTTCAATGTAATAAATGCAGCGGAGGTGAGCACAAGAGAATTGAAACACTGAAAAAAATGAAAAAATTCTACCAACCCCAAACTTTTGAACAGTGACACGTTTCAGTTCGGATGCATACAAAAAAAATTAGCATACTGTGCACATGGTACATACTGCATACTGCAAAAATAGAATGAATAGTATGGCATTATGCTATTCCCATCCTAACCAGACAGAGAGGGAACGACAGAGGGAGGGAAAGGACAGAATGACAACCTGTGTGGCAGAAATTACAGCCGAGATGCAGCAGGGCTCAGCTCAGCAGAGCTCAAAGCATCCATAACAAGCATGACATTTCACTTCAATAACCACCATCAGCATGCGCACACGCACACACACACACACACACACACACGCACGCACGCACGCACACACACACACACACACACACATACCACACACACAAATGTCTTTCTGAACACACACCACACACACACACACACACACACACACACACATAGAGGCACAGCCACCTGTAGGTTGTCACACATCTCCTGGCTGTAAGTGATTCTCTGTATCTCTGTGGGGGAGCATAGATACAGCGCCTGCCCTCCGTTGGTGAAGCAGAATGTTCTAGCAATGCGCATGTCCGTTAGCGGCAGGTAGCTGACATCTAGCAGAGGCCGTAAACTGGGAAGGCTGTAAAACATACACACATATAAGATAACAGGCTTAGCAACTGCATTCCAATATCCTTTGTATCGGAAATGACAGTGTAAACACTCTAATTTATAGCGACGAATGAAGAAATTCACGCCTAAAATATTACACCACGCTGAAGGCAGGATTTAGAACGAAGCCAACAAAAGCACAGCTCAGCTCTTCTGACTAGAGGTTTAGAGTTTATTGAAAGATTGAACTGGTTTCTGTAATCTGGATTAAGCTAAAAATCGATACCAAAAAGGTTCTGAGCTGGTATTAAAGGAATGTTCCAGGCTAAATATAAGTTAATCTCTATTGACAGAACCTGTCAAATTCTGTCGATTGCCACAGACACCTCAATTTACTCATCAAGCAAACGTGTTTACAGTAATACATTTCAAATGGAAGTCTAAAGTGTTCTGGAGGGCTTAAAAGCTTACATCTCTTGCTAATGCACTTATATTATTCTGTACAGAAAAGTGTGAATGAATTAGAACAGTCTGCATTTTTGCTGTATAGATTTTAGGAATAGACCCTTTTCTAGGGTTTACTGGTTTTACATGGTCATAACTGGGATGAAAACTTGGAAATAATAATAATAATAATACAATCATTTTAATTTATTTCTATAATTAAAAAAAAAATTCTACATTTTCCCCCTTTCATGCCACAAAGATGATCAATAGAGCTTAAGTTCTGTTCAGTTAATAATTCTGTTAATTACCACAGGCATGTTCCTACATTGTTTTAGTTTTTAATAATAATAATAATAAATTATTTTTTAAAACATTTTCTATATATTTTTTTAAATCATTCTATATTTTCCCCCTTTTATGCCACAAAGACAATCAATAGAGCTTAAGTTATGTTTAGTTAATAATTCTGTTAATTACCACAGGTATTTTTTACCTGTCCCTCAGTTTGTGAAATCATCAACAACAACAACAACAACAACAACAACAA